CGTGCGGGGACAGGCGGCCCGGGTTGGCGCGGGCAGGGCGGGGCGGAGGGGCAGGGGAGGCCGGGCGGGTCCTCACCGACGAGGGCCAGGATGACGGTCAGCAGGGGCGCTGCGGGGAAGGCGATGGCCATGTTCATCTCCAGCATCTGCAGCAGGTCCACTGCGGGCACAGGGCGGGGGGGCCCGGTGAGGGCCTGGGGCGCCCACCCCTCCCCCAGCGGCGGCGGGAGACTCACCGATGAAGACGAAGATCTGGTGGTGGGAATAGCGGAGCAGCATGGACACGCTCAGGGTCTGCAAGGGGGCAGCATGAGGCCGGCTGGGGGCCAGTCCCCACGGCGGCTCACAGGGCGCGCCGAGGCCCAACCCCGCCGCCAGGGTCCACCCACTGCGGCCCATCCCCGCCCACCGAGGTCCGGCCTGCCCAAGGCAGGCAGCCCCAGCCTTGGGGGTCCAACCCACCCACTGGAGTGGGCCCAGCCTACTGGTATTACCCTGCCCATGATGGACCAACCCCACCCCCTGCAGTCCACCCCCAGTGGCCCAACCCACCCACACGGGCGGCCAACTGAGGTCTAACCCTGGCCCTACCAGGTGCAGTGCAATTCCTGCCCACTGCGGTCCAGCCCCACTCCCTGCGGTCCAGCCCCACACCCTGCGGTCCGGCCCCACCCCCTGCAGTCCACCCCCAGTGGCCCAACCCACCCACACGGGCGGCCAACTAAGGTCTAACCCTGGCCCTACCAGGTGCAGTGCAATTCCTGCCCACTGCGGTCCAGCCCCACTCCCTGCGGTCCAGCCCCACACCCTGCGGTCCGGCCCCACCCCCTGCAGTCCACCCCCAGTGGCCCAACCCACCCACACGGGCGGCCAACTAAGGTCTAACCCTGGCCCTACCAGGTGCAGTGCAATTCCTGCCCACTGAGGTCCGGCCCCACCCCCTGCGGTCCAGCCCCACCCCCTGCAGTCCGGCCCCACCCCCTGCGGTCCTCCCCGCCCACCGAGGCTGTCCGACCAGGCACTCACGAAGATGACCATGATGACGAAGGCGGCCAGGTAGGACGTGCGCGCCATCCACATGCTGACGAAGCGGTAGTGCTCGCCGGACACCACGTTCCGCAGGAAGCCTGGAGGGGCGGCAGTGAGCGCGGGCCGCTGGGCCCCAGCCCCCCAGCTCCCCCGCGGGGCGGCCCGCACCCTTGTTCTCCTCGTTCTCTGCCAGGCCCTTCACGCTGGACATGAGGATGTCGTCGTAGCCCAGGAACTCGTCCAGCAGCAGGCGGCTGAAGCGGTCCCCGAAGCACTGGTCCCGGGTGGGGTCTGAGGGCAGAGCGGGTGGGGCAGGCCGCTCAGCTCAGGGCCCGCCGCCAGCCCGGCTCAGCAACCCGCGGCAGGCCCCAGAGGCCCCTGGCACACCCAGGTGGTGGGAGGTCCCTGCCACCAGGCCAGCACCAGCAGCCCTCCCCGCCCCGCTGGGGCACTCACCCAGGGTGACCACCATGACCGGGATGCTGAGGCGCTGCCTGGTGGCCTGCGACAGCCGCAGGAACCCATACTCCAGCGAGTACTCCACGATGTACTCGTCCTGCGGCCACACTGTGGGCAGCACGGTACCCGTCAGCCCCTGCCCCGGGGTGCACTGGGGCAGGCCGGAAGGCTCGGCCCCGCCATGGTCACGGACAGCCCGGCCAGGGCTGGCCAGGAGCCCCAGCCCTCTGGAGCCCTGAGGGGCCTGCAGCCACGCCCGGACCCACACAGGGACTGTCCAGCTCGGGGTGGTCAGGGGCCAGCTTCCCCCGCCTGCTGGGTCTCCTCTCTGGGGACTTGCTCAGGGCATTCGGCTGCACGGTCCCACTGGCCCGGGTGCTGCCCTCCCAGGAGACCCGTACCTTTGGTGGGCGTCTCGGGGAAGGGGAATTCCTGGCTATCGTTCAGGGCCTCTGCGCTGCTCGGCGGCTTGAACACCTTGGGCTCAATGTCCAGCTCGAACTGAGGGTGACCGGGCCAGGGCGTCAGTGGACCCCTCCCTCCCACCGCCTGGAAGGTGCTGCCCAGCTGGGACCCCCACCCTACCACCAACCCTGCCACTGTGAGGCCGGGGACAGAGCACTGCTGGGCACCGGGGTCAGCAGGTCAAGGGCACACGCAAGCTCCACCCACACCTGCCCCCGTGCTGGCCGGTTGGCCACGATGCCAGCTTATCCTTGGGGTTGTTTCACGGAGGCCCGACCTATCCACCAGCCACTGTCAGCGCCTGACACCTGGCGGCCACCTGTGTGCCCCCGTGGGACCCGCGGGCCCCTCAGGACAGCAGGACGGGCCTCCTCGGCAGCGACTTCCACCCTGAGGGCCCCAACCAGGCCAGCGAGTGCCCGCACCAGGGGACCACAAGACCACAGCCACCCAGGGCACACCTGGATGGAGCTGTTCCCAAACATCTCCACGGTCAGCTCCTCTTCCTCCTCCTCCTCCAGTTCCAGGCCACCTGGCTCCGCCGACAGGCCCGGGAAGGCCCCGCGGCCGGCGGCGGCGTCACAGAACTGCAGGAAGACGGGCGCGCGGCTGGAGTTGTGCTGGACCTCCACACGCAGGATGCCCTCTCGGGGCCACCTGTCACGCACGTGCTCCAGGCAGTTGATGGGCGAGCGGGAGAAGGCGATGTGGATGTAGGCCAGGACGAAGAGCACGAACAGCGCCTGCGGCAGGGGCCGGCGTCAGGGCGGCAGGGGGCCAGGGGCGTGGCGGGCAGGGCCACTGGCTCCTCACCCTGCCCAGCCTGCACCACGGCCATCGCCATCAGAGGTCCACGGAGGGACGCCCCCGCCCAGCCTGCACCACGGCCATCGCCATCAGAGGTCCACGGAGGGACGCACCCGCCCACCCTACACCACCACCACCCCCATCCGCCTCCCCCACCCCCTCCGCCATCAGAGGTCCACGGAGGGACGCCCCCACCCAGCCTGCACCTCCAAGGCCATCGCCATCAGAGGTCCACGGAGGGACGCCCCCGCCTGCCAAGTCTGCTCCCCCAGGCTGATCGCAGACAAGGTCCTCGGTGGGGCCCCTCCTGCAGGCACTGTGGGACCGACTGGTCCCCATGCACTCCCAGGTCCTGTCCAGTGAGTCCAGTGGGGTCCCCAGCTGCTTCCTGCTCCACTTCTGCTGTGTCCTCTGCCCTCCCCTGACCTCACCAGCTAAAATTAGCCCCCCTGCCGGGATCAGTGGCCCGGGCTCCCCTCCCGGCCAGCAGTGCTGGACTGAGGTGCCACACAGGGTCCTGGCCTCTGGCTCTGAGTGTGGCCTCACCACAGTGGGACAGTAGCGGGTCTCACTGCGAGGGCCTGCCCCAGCGGACACGGGGCGGTATCTGGGGACGTTGTGGGTGTCACAGCAGGGGGATGCTCCCACGTGCAGTGGGTGGGGCCAGGGGTGGAGCTGTTCTCCATGCGTGTGGAGCCCAGGACACCCCCAAAGGACCAGGTGCTCCACATCCACAGCCCGGTCTGGACGCAGTGCCCGGGGGCCACGTGTGCTGCCAGCCGAGCGGCCCGGCCCTCACGCTCAGTCCCCAGACACTCCAGGAGCCCAGCGGGGTCCCAGGGAACACAGAGTTGACCTGACCCTGGGTGCGGGGTGTGCCAGGCTGCCTGCTGCCACACGCCATGGCAGAACCGTCTGACTCCCTCTCTTCGGGTCTGTGTCTGTCCCAGATCCAGACATGCCTCCACGTGGGGCCTGCCGGACCCAGTCGTAGGCCAGTGTGGACAGCCCAGAGTGCCCCGGCTTGGAGGCTGGCACCTCGCTGAGCCTCAGGCCGAGACAGACCAGAGCAGTCCCTGCCACCGGTGCCCGGCCCTACCAAGCAGATGCTGGGGCCAGGGACCGAGGAGGGGCAGGGGAGGGACCCCGGGCAGCGTGGTCAGGACCTGGCCCCATGGTGCGTCTGCTCAGCCGTCCTGGGGCCCACCACACCCACGATGGTGGCCACACTCTGCCCTGGCCTGGACATCTGGCAGGCTCTGTGCTGGCAACACTGTGTGGCCTGTGGGGCCGCCCACTGCTGCCCCGGCCCCGGCTGTACAGATGGGGAAGCCGAGGTGCTGACCACGGAGCCGAGGCCCACGGCCGGGCAGGCAGCAGCACGGACAGTCCTGGGCTTTGCTCCGGGCCTGTGGCTGGCCTGACCACAAGCAGACCGGTGCCCTGCCAGGACAAGTGCCTATGCCCACGGTGCACACTCCCTCAGGTGCCCCTCAGACCTGCTCTCCCCAGGGCCACGAGCAGGTGCGTCCCTCCTGGCCCAGCCCTCCCTGGGCCTCCCCACACGGCTGCGCCCCAGGCTGGCCCTCAGCACGTGTGGAGCCCTTGGCCTGTCCAGCTCTGTGCTCCTGCCAGCTCCTCTAGGAGGTCTCCCTTGAAGCCCTGGCGGGGTTTCCAGGCCACCCCAACACTCCGCCTTTCCCTCCCTGTCCCCCAGACCCAGAGCCTCCTAACCACCTCTGCGAGTCTGGCGGACAAGTCCCTGGGGCCACATGTTCCTTTCCAAGGGTTTCCCTTAGAGATGTCCCCCTAGGACGGTCCCAGCCGTCCTCCCAGACCTGGGGTGTTTCCCACCCACAGGCACAAGGGCATCCCTTCCAGTCCCTGGTGAAGGCCAGGTCCCCCACGGCTGCCCCACTCCTCTCCTTGGCCTCGGAGGGCCACCGCGGGCCAGGGTCTAGCGGGTGGGCACCAACGTGGGCACTGCACTGGCCATGCTGGCCTCGGGGCCCTGAAAACAGCAGGGTGGCTGCTGAGCCCCGGCTGTGTGGCCACCTCTGGCCACAGGACCTGGCTCTGCAGAGTCCCCTAGAGGCCTGGCCGGAGCCGTCGGGGAGGCCAGCTCTGCAGCGGGGAGCCGGAAGTGGGCAGGAAGCAGAAGTGCGGAACCTCCCAGCCCTTCGCGTGGCCTGACAGCAGCCGCTGGGAGACAGGCAGACTGGCGGGGGTCTGACTGCACCCCGGGGCTCTGGGGGAGACCGGCCAGCACTGGGGCTGAGCTCGGGTGGGCTGCTGCCCAGGCTCTCAGGGCGGCCGGCTGGTCCCATGGCCACCGTGAGTGGCCCCTGCCTAGAACCCAGCGGGTCTGCGAGTGGTCCAGCCGGGAAGGCGGAGACCTGGCCCCTCCTGATGAGGGCTGGGGTGGCCGCTGGCCCACGGGGAGGACGGGGCTCTGTCCCAGGCTGCGAGTCCGGGCGGGGGCGGGGGCGCCGTCACACCTGGAGGGGCTCTGCCTGCCGGGCGCTGGGCCAGAAATAAGCCGCCTAGGGGAACGAGCGGCTCCCACTCGGCCACCTGCGGCCTGCGGGGCCTTCCGGGTGTGGGCGAGGTTCGGGTTAGGGCCGGGGCCAGCTCCCGGCAGGCGGGCTGGACCCTGACCCAGCCGAAGCGTCCCCCATAACGCTTCCCGAGGGACCCGGCCGCCCTCCTCGCAGAGACCGGGGAGGAGCACCTGCTCCTGCATCGTGGCGCCGGCTGTGACCTGCACTGGCCCGGCCGGTGACAGGTCGGCGACAGGAGGGTCCCCACCGGGACAACAGGTGCCTGGGGCGCGGGCACCGGGATGGGGGATCCCGGGGGCGGGGCCCTGCAGGGACTGCGCGGGGGGCGGGGCCGCAGCCCGGGTCAGAGGTCGCCCGCGCCAGGGAGGGTCCCCGGTGGGTGAAGCGCGTCCGGGACCTCCGGGCGGGTCAGGGGTCGGGGCCGGGGCTGTGGTCACCTTGAGCAAAACGAAGAACTCGAAGAGCCGGCGGAAGGCGGGCGGGAAGAGCCGCGAGTAGGTGACAGCCATCTTGAAGAAGAGCGCGTGGAAGAGCCGGTCGCGCACATTGATGAGGGGGTTGGGGTTCAGGTTGGGGGTGCGAGGCCCGCGCGCGGGGGCC